AGTTAACCTTACAGTTAAGAAGCAGAGGACCCTAGGACCATCAAGGGAGAAGAAGCAGTGATACCAGAGATGGAGGCAAAGATGTCCCTGCTAACTGCAAGGTTGGTAGTTCAAACCCAGAGTTGCTTCTTGGAAATCCTATACAGGGTCACTAAGAGTCAAAAGTGACTCAGTGGCACTTAACAACAACAACAACAGCAACTAATAATAATAATAGGAATCCTGGTTTGGTCCCACTGGATAAACACTGGACTGCTAACCACAAGGTTGGCAGTTCAAACCCACCAGCTGCTTCCTGGAAACCCTGTACAAGGTCACTATGAGTCAGAGTCAACTCAAGGGCACTTAACAACAACAATAACTGATCATAATAATAGGAGTCCTGGTGTGGCGCTGTAAGATAAGCATGGGATTGCTAACCACAAGGTCAACTGTTCAAACCTACCAGCCACTCCTTGGAAACCCTATACCGGATCGATATGAGTTGGAATCGACTCAACCACACTTAACAACAACAACAACGAGGCACCTAAGGGGCTCTGGTGGCACAGTGGTTAAACGCTAGGGTCTTAAACAAATGGGGCAGCTGCTTCTGTGAGGGTTGACAGGCTTGCAAACCCTATGGAGCAGTTGTATGCTGTGCTATGGGGTCGCTGTGAGTCGGAAGCTCCTCGATGGCGGTGGGTTTTACGAGGGGCTTTGTTGTTGCTAGTTATCACTCAGTCAGTTTTGACTTATGGCAACGCCATGTGTGCAGCGTAGAACCACACCCTAGGGCTTTCAGACACAGAAGAAAAGCCTGGTGATTAACTTCTGAAACATCAGCCACTGAAAACCTTATGAAGTACAGTTCTACACCCACTCAAATGGGATTGTGGGTCAGAATTGGCTTCATAGCAACTGGTTGGTTATTGCATTGTTGTTGTTGTTGTTAAGTGCCGTCGAGTCGGTTCCGACCCATAGCGACCCTGTACAGGGTTTCCGAGGGTGTAAATCCTTACGGGAGTAGAAAGCCTCATCTTTCTCCCGCGGAGCGGCTGGTAGTTTCGAACCGCTGACCTTAAGGTTCGCAGCCCGATTCGTAACCACTACGCTACCAGAGCTCCTTTAGTTACAGAATTTAAATAATACTAGCGATATTAATAGCAGTAGCGACTAGACACTTAATTGTGGTCAGTTACCGTCCACGTCCACTCAGCTCCACTCCTGGGGACCCCGCGTGTGCAGACTACTACTGTTCCATGGGGTTTTCAAGCCTGTGACCTTTCAGAAGCAGATGGCTAGGCCCATTTCTGAGGTACCTCTAGGAGGGTTAGAACGACCCGCTGGTTAGCAGAGCACTTCGCGGTTTTCAACACCCCTGGACTCCTTTACCGGTATTAATTTTTTATCTTCATTCCTGGAAGTTGGTAACCGTAATGATTCCCATCTTATAGATTGGGAAATGGAGGCACGGAGATGCTAATCAGCCCACCGAGGTCATACTGGAAGCAAAGCCAGACCCAGAGGGCAGTCCTGCCCGGCCACTTCCTTCTCGACCTCCCCGGGTTTGGAGACTGGAGAACCCGGGAGGGACATTTGGAAGGCTGCTGGCTTTCGGGCGTCTGCTGCAGGGAACAAGAAACGTAACCTACTCATCCATCAGCCCTGGATGGATGGCGCATCCTACTTTAGGCGACCCTCAGGGCACTTTTAACACTCACCCCCTCCTGCCCTGCAGCCACGCCGAGGACCTGTCTTCATAGAGGCCTCCCGCCCCCCTCCCCCAACCCTGCAGGCGTTGGGTCCTCCAGGCCGGAGGAAAGGAGCCCGCCGGCCCACCCTTTTCTACCCCCACCTCTTCCTCTACACCCCCACCCCCATCCTGCAGCCTCCGCGTCTGCGCAGCTGCTCTCGGTGCGGCGCTGGCTCTGCAGTGCCCGGCGGGCGTGACTGGGGAGGGTGAGTTCTCGGAGAGACCCTCACGGGGGGCTCGGCAGGGAGAGGGGCGCTCGCGGGAGTGTGTGAGTGCACGTGTATGTATGTGAAAAGATGAGGTCTGGGGAAGGGGTTTCCAAGCCCAGCCGGTGGAAGAGGACCAGAGTCTGTCCTAGCCGGGGCTGATCTCGGGATCGCAGGTGGATTTCAACGAGGAGGGAAGACGGGTCCTACATTGAACATCCATCCGTGTGCGTACTTGTGCGTCCTCGTGGGTCTGTGTGCACGTGTGTCCCCTGTGCGTGTGTGTCCGCACGCGGCTGCTGCTGCGTGTTACCTGCCCAGGTGTGTGCCGTGTGTCTGCTGGCACGTGTACTGGAAGGAGATGGGCAAGTGGAGCGCCCCCACCCCACCCCTTCTCAGCCCTGTGGCTTAGACCGAGGGGGTTTCCCGCCTGTAAAAGGGAATAATAATGATTTCTATACGGAGACCAGTGACCAGATTAGATAAGGGAGGCGAAACGTTCAGCCGCGCCTGGCACACGGGAAGCGCTCCAGGAAACTGTGGATGCCAATATTGCTAGTACGTCATGCCTGGTAAATAGTCGTAGTAGTTGTTAACCGACTCATAGCGACCTTGTATAGGGTTTCCGAGGAGTGGCTGGTGAGTTTCAACCTCCCATCTTGCAGTTCAAACCGGCCTTGCAGTCCAGTGCTTATCCTATTGTGCCACACCAGTAGTGTTGTTGTTGTTGCGCTGTGGAGTTGGTTCCGACTCACGTCGACCCTGTATAGGCTTGGTGTCGCTTTGGAAATGCTATGGTGGCAGTTCCGCTCTGGTATGGGGGTTATAAATCAGAATTGACGCAGTGACAATGGTTGAGTTTGGTTTTAAGGAACTGATAAAAGAGTCCTGGTAACGTAATGGTTAAGCAATTGTTTAGGCTCCAAACTGAAAGGTCATGGTGGTAAGTTGACACACACACACACACACACACACACACACACACACACACACACACTCCGCCCCCCTTACACTCCGTTCTGGTAAATATCACAACCTAGGAAACCGTACAGTAAAGTTTTAGGCCGTCACACAGTAAAACCTCGGTCACATGAGTTGGGACCTAACAGATTGTCACGGGGGGTCCTTCTGATTGGATGACATATTATAGCAAAGTATGTATCTGATGGAGTCCCCTGATGGTACAAACGGCTAACGTAAGGTTGGAGGTCCAAGACCACCCAGAGGTTCCTCAGAAGAAATGCCTGGGAATCTCCTTCCACAAAATCAGTCATTGAGAACACTAGGAAACACAGTACTACTCTGACCCATACAGGGTGGCCTGGAGTCAAAAGTCAACTTGATAGCAACTGTTGCTTTTTCTGTCTTTCTTTGGGGTGTGTGTGTGTTTCATTCAACAAATACTGATGCCCGTGGGTGTGTTTACCTACACTTATGTGGCATCTACTGTGTGCCAGCTCATGGTCTCTGTCATGTCTTAGAAAGATCCCCGGTGGTGCAGTGATTAAGCACTTGGCTACTAGCTGAAAAGTCAGTGGGAGAAAGATGTTGCAGTCTGCGTTTATACAGCTTTACAGGTCCAGAAGCCGTATGGGGAGCTTCTACTAAGCTCTCTAGGGTGGTTATGTTTCGGAATCAAGCTGAAGGCAGTAGGCTTGGTGTTTTGGTACTTTCAGTTTTAGCAGATGATGTTGCCAAATATTTTTCCAAAGTGGTTGAGCCAATATACACTCCCACCAGTACACATGAATAACACCTGCTCTTAAAATTCAGCTCAAGCCGTTTAAAAGGGAACTGCTGTCTCACTGCTGCAAATGACAGCTAGTGTCCCTTTTGTGTTTGTATAGTCTTTCCAGTTACTGAGAGTAGCCATCAAAAGGCACACAAAGAAAAACAATGTCACTGCATTCTGACTTTGAGTGTGTATGTGTGGGAACTATACTTGAAAAAGGACTAGGCGATATTAAGGCATATGAGCACCAAACTGTTACTATCTCCTTAAGTCGACCCCCTAGCGAGATGGATTGGCACAGTGGAGGCAGCAATGGGCTCGAGCATGTTAACAATTGTGAGGATAGTGTAGGATCGGGCAGTGTTTCGTTCTGTTGTGTATAGGTTCGCTATGAGTAGGAGCCGACTTCAGGGCACCTAAGAACAACAAGGACTAAAAGTGTCTTGCTGTTAGCTGTTATTGACCCCATACATATGGTGACCCCATACGTACAAAGTAGAACTGCTCCATGCAGCTCTTAAGGTTGTGACCCTACAGAAATAGATCGCCATGCCTTTTGTCTGAGGTGATGTTGGGTGCCAACCTTTTGGCTAGTTGTTGTTAAGCACTGTTGAGCCAGTTCTGACTCATAGCAACCCTGTCTAGGGTTTCTATGGAGCAGCTGGTGGGTTTGAAGTGCTCACCTTGTGGTCTAGTGCATTACCCTGCAGCACCACACTGGGAATCCTTTGCCTAGAAGTCGAGTACTTCATCATTTGTGCCAACCAGGGACTCCTAGAACCAGTTGCTATTGAGTTTGCTCCAATGCATGGTGACCCTGTGTGTGTTAGAGTAGACCTGCTCAGATCACCAGGCATGCCCAATAGCTGATGTACCTCTGGGTGGGTTTGAACCTCTAATTTTTTGACTAGTAGTTGAAGGTGTAGCCATTTGGCCACCAAGGGACTCCTACAAGGGGCTGAGTGATATGCATGATTCAGACTACACTTTATCCATTTACCTTTGGGCTATTGTCAACAATGCTGCAATGATCACATGTGTGCATGTATTTCTTTAGGTCTTTGTATTGGTCACTGTCTCTCGCCTCCCCCTAGAGTGGAAACCTCCCTAGAACCTTCATCCTAATTTTGATTGCTGTCGTCTGCAACAGTGCCTGTACACAGCTGCCGCTCTGTGAATGTTTGCCGAATAACTGCCTGTCAGTCCTCAGGTTCTGGATCCTGTGCCTGGGGAACTAGTTAAGACCCTGAAACAGGAGGAAAAGGAGACAGTGAGAGGCTTCATACTGCCCCCCAAGCCTGTCTCAGAAGCTCCACTCTGGGGGGAAATGCAGAGTCTCCGGCCTGAGCAGCTGCGGGGGTTGCTGGAACCCGAGAGAACCAAGACGCTGTTGCCTCGAGAAAGTCGAACCTGGGAGAAGCAGCCCCATCCCACCTTCACCAGGGACTGGGAGGCTGTGGATGTTGGGACCACCAGCTGTGACAGCGATGAGAAAGGTGAGGGGGTGGGGTCCCCCAGAAGCTGGGTGAAAGAGCCTAAAGAAAAACTCAGTGTTTATTTGATAAACACTGCCACAGTGGCCAAAACACTCACCTGTCAACCAAACAGGGCTGGATTGAACCCCCTAGCCACTTCACAGGAGACAGATTCTGGAGAGAGATGTGGTCTGTTTCCGTATAGATTTCAGCCTTGGGGACCCAATGGGGCAGTGCTACTAGGTCCTGTTGGTTTGCTGTGAGTTGGGATAGATGCTACAGCAGTGGCGTTTGCTGTTGTTTTTGGTGGCAATTGTAAAGGAGGGGATTGGCTTCTAACTGAAATAAATGTTTGCTCGGACCTACTGAGAGGGCTCGTGCTCTGTGAAGACGGCAGCACAGGAAAACCATATGGGACAAATCTACTCTGTCCTACAAGGTCATTAACAACAATAATGATATTATGTCAGTCAGTGTCTTTGTTCCCTAAATTGTAGGAACAGAAGTGATGCAGGTAGGGGACTTTAATAAACAGAAATCTCTTTTCTCACAGTTTCGGAAGCTAGATGTCTGAATCCAGGACTCTGGCTCCTGAGGAAGGCTCTCTCTGTCAGCAGTGGGGCAAGATCATTGCCTCTGTTAGTCTCAGTTCCTTAGAGAGCTTCACGTGGTCCCTACCTTCCCCATTCATGCTTGTCTGTCTTTGTTCGAATCTGCTCTCTCTCTCTTTTATTCTTTTAAATATTTTATTGTTTTTAGGTGAGAGTTTGCACTTTAGAGTCCCCTTTTTGTGTCTGCATTCTCTTTATGCCCACTCTGTTTGCTCTGCTTCCCTGGGTCCATCGCCTCTTCTCCTCCCCACCTTCTCATCTTTGCTTTTGGTTAAATGTTGACTGTTTGGTCTCACATGACTCACTTTTCTGAAATTTTATAATCCAGTCTATTGTTTGATCTCCAGGATTTGTTTCAGGTTTAAGTTGAAAGAGTCTCTTTTAGGGCAATAATGTTTGGAGGTTCTTTCAGTCTCTATGGGTTCAGTAAGCCTGGTCTTTTTTGTGAGGATGCCTTTGAATTTTGCTGTACCCTTTTCTCACATTCGATCCGAGATCTGTACGTCCCTGGTCGGGATGATGGGTTGGGGTATCTGGGCTCTGGTTAGAAGAGGCTGTTGTTGGTGTTTGCTGGTTTCTTCCTTGGCTCTTTGGTTTCCTTCATTCTCTGTCATTCCTGACAAGTAGAGATTATTGTGTCTTAGATGACCACTCAGAAGACCCCAGACACTACTTACCAAACAAGGGTATAGAACATGAACTTTATATACGATGTATCTTGTGCCAATTAAACAAAAGTCTATGGTCTGGAGCTTTCAAACCCAGTACACCAATCACTGGAGGTGCTTGGCTATGTTGGGTAAGTATCCATGATGATGTCTCCTGGTGAAGGCACTATTGTATCCATTTGTCAGGCAAAGAAACTGAGGGTCAGGCAGCAGAGCCTGCCAGGTAACCCACTCTAAGTCTTCCAGGTAGTGAGACCTTAAGGACAGCCATTTGAGGATCATTACTGTTTTATTGGCCAGGTGGCAGCATCGATGGACTCAAGTGTGGCAACAGTAGTGAGGTTGGCTCAGGATCGGACATCCTTTTATTCTGCTGTGCATAAATAAGGTTGTTATGAGTTTGTGCCGACTTGATGGCACCTAACGACAACAACAACAACTGTTTTACTGTGGAGTCCTGGGGTGGCGCTGTGGGTTAATGCGCTGGACTGCAAGGTCAGTTTGAACCTCAAGGTTGGCAGTTCAAGCTCACCAGCTGCTCCTTGGAAACCCTATACAAGGTCGCTATGAGTCAGAACCAACTCCATGGCACTTAACAACAACAACTGTTTTTCTTAGTTAAGAGTAAATATAATCAAACATTGGCCTAAAGCATCTTATATATACCTCCCATCCCCCAAACTTGTCCTTATTCCTTAAACATATGTTTTGACTGTTTTTAGGTTGGAATGTTAATGATTGCTTGGTTCTGCCAGGAGTCTGGTCGTGTTTTGGTCAGAACTGACCATCTGGGCTAGTCAATTATGGCCTCCTGTGAGTTGTTTATTGTGATTTCGTGTGAATGTTAGAATCATAGCCTGTGTAAGTGCCTTAGCCAGAAGTAGTATAAAAAATCTTCATAGCAAAGAACACCAGTTAAACCAGTTTGTTTGCTCTGAGGTATTCTGTTAGTCATTTTCCTAAAAATAATAAGAGATTCTTTTAAAACTTATTTATCTGGAGCAGTTATTAATTGGACTCAATTGCTCCAGAGCATTAGACCCAAACTTTGGGCTAACGGTAATTGTCAGAGAAATAAGACCAGAATTTAGGGCGATCATCCTCTCAGTTCCGCCTGAACCACAGGAAAGCAGCGTAGGTAGGAAAGGATGTTAACGGGAAGGGGCTACGATGCCAGGTGGGAAGAGAGAGAGGTGCCCACCCCAGCTGTCCTGGATGCTCATGGCTCCATTTCGTCTCCACTCAGATCTGTCATCTCAAGAGACAACACTTTCCCAGGAATGGACTTCAATGGATGAGGAGGACGAATCAGAAGACTCCCAGGTAAATTGGGGTTCCTCTGCACTGTGGTCAGATGTCTCCCCTGCAGGTCTCTCAGCTGGTCATCATAGGTCCTTCCTCAGCTTCAGATGTTCCTGGCCAACAAAGCTCTCGTCATGGCTGTGAACTCCAAATGCTCACATCCTCGGGAAACAGGACATGTCCCTGTTGTATTTAGAAATGCAGGAGAGGGTCTTCACACGCTGTGTGTCATTCCAACCTCGGATGTGGGTGACAAGAGAAAGAGACATCTGTTGGAGGTGTGGCGGAGTGAGGAGAAGTGATGTAGGTGGGGGGGGGGTACTGTAGAAGGAGCTTTTAATTTAATTTAGGTGATGGTATTAAGATATTTTGGTAAGGTGGAGGGTGAGAGAAAAAGAGGAAGACCCCCAGCAAGATGGATTGGCAAAGCGGCAGCATCAATGGGCTCAACTGTGACAACAATTGTGAGGTTGACCCAGGATTGGGCAGTGTTTCGTTCTGTTGTGCATAAGGTTGCTATGAATCAGTACCGACTGGATGGCACCTAACAACAACAACAAATTAGGATCTCAAGGAGCCCTGGGAGTACAAGGGATTGGGAGCTGGGCTTCTAACCTCAAGGTCAGTAGTTTAAATCTTCACGTCTTTCCTTGGCAGAAAGTTGAGCCTTTCTGCTCCTGTAAAGGTTTACGGCCTCGGAAACCCCAGGCAGGGTCACTATGGGTCGGAACCGACTCGATGGCAGTGTGTTTGGTTTAGTTTGATTAGGATATCAGGGAACTCTAGTGGCTCAGTAGGTTAGGCAATGAATTGTTAACTTCAAGGTCTTCGGTTCAAATCTACCAACCCCTCTCTCCATGGGTGAAGGATGAGGTGGTTTGCTCCTGCTAAGATTTACAGATCTCTGAAATCCTTCGTAGAGTTGCTGTGAGTCAGAATTGACTTGATGGCAGGCTGATTTTTTTAAAATTAGGGTACCAAGGATCCCTGGTAGTGCAGTGGGTTAAGCATTGTACTGCTAGCCATAGGGTAGGGGGTTCAAACTCACCAGTGTCTCCCAAAGAGAAAGATGAGCCAGTCTGATTCCGTAAAGAGTTACGATCTCAGAAACCCACGGAAGCAGGTCTTCTGTTCTATCCTAAAGGCTCACAGTGAGTTGGAATCAACATACTGGCAATGGGTTGATTGGTTGGTTGGCTTTAGGATATCAAGAAACTCTGGTTATATGCTGCACGGATAACACACAAGGTTAGCAGTTCAAACCCACCAGCAGTCTTTGGGAGAAAAGACCAGGCAAGTCGTTCCCGTTAAGATTCTGAAGTAAACCCAGAGCCACTGAGCGGAATCCGCTTCTTAGCTGCACTGCCCCGTAGGGTGTCCAAGACAGTTAGCCTTCTCCCACAGAGTGGCTGGTGGGTTCAAGCTACGGTCCTTTTGGTTTAGTAGCCCAGCATTTTAGCCATTGTGCCACCAGGTCTCTATCCATAACGATTCCAAACCAGACCAAATCAAATCAAGCCCACAGCCACTAAGTTGGTTCGGACGTCCTAGAAGATGGAGTTGAACTGCCCCAGAGGGCTTTCAGACTAAATCTTTATGGGTGCACACTGCCATGTCTTTGTCCCTCAGATCAGCGCCCAACCCACAGTGCCACCAGGACTCCTTCCTAGCAGTTTTACTGTTTTATGGAGTCTCGATAAGTCTGTAATTGACTCAATGACACACACAATAACCCTCATGATTGTTTGGGATATGTGCAGTTTAAGATGATCATTAGATATCCAAGTAGAGGTGGCAAGGAGACAGATATGTAAATAAGGAGCTTAAGAGAAAGATTGGATCGAGAATATGTGTGTGTGTATTTGGGGTGTGGCACTGGACCATAGACTGAAAGGTTGGTGGTTCAAACCCACCAGTTGCTCCTTGGAAACTCTATATGGGTTGCTATGAGTTGGAACCGACGTGACGGCACTTAATAACAACAGAGCACAGATGGTGAGACTTTATATTTTGAAATGTTTCTCAGTTGTACCATTATTCTGAAATTTCCTATGGCAATCTGTAGGAAAAAATGAACCTTGCTGGGGCAGTGGTTAAGTATTCATTTACTAAAAGTTCTGTTGTTCGAACCAACCAACCAGTCCATGGAAGAAAGATGGGACTGTCTGCTTGTGTCAACATTGCAACCTTGGAAACCCTATGAAACAGTTCTACTCTCTCCTATAGATAGGGCTGATAGGACTTGGAACTGACTCAGTGGTGATGCATTTTCCCCTCCAGTCTATAGAAATGTGACTTTTGTATGTTTATATCTACTTACTAGAGTATGTAGATTTTAATTCAAATAGCTTTTCAGTTGATAACGCCTTTGAATTTCCAATGATATAATAATTCCATTTTCCTGCATTGGCCCTTCTTTCCAATAATTATCCATTTTTTTCTTTCTTTCTTTCTGTTTCAGGGCTTCATAGAGTGGTCAAAAGCTCCACAACAGACAACCATAGTCTTAGTGGTGTGTGTGTTGTTTTTGTTCCTGGTTTTAACCGGGATGCCTATGATGTTTCACGTTTAGCTATGATGATGGATCATGTTTTGAAACAATGCTACCCTGTGTCATCTTAAGAAAGTATCCTGGTTAAAAATCAGGAATAAGTATTGAATTTTATCAAATGCCTTTTAAACATCCATTGAGAAGATTTTTGTTGGTTTGTTTGGGTATTTAAGCTTTTGGTGTGAGGTTTTCCATTACTGTATCTCATCTAACTTAAGACCTCATTGGTTGAAAATGATGTTTTATTATTTTATGTAATGCTGAGAAAGAAAAAAAGAATTATAAGTTCCACAAACTGGAAGATCTATCCCCTGACTTTAGAGAAGGTGAGAAAATGTACAACTAGCATAGATGCAACTTGGTCGATTTCCTAATGTCAAATCATCTTTGCATTCTTAGGATGAAACTTTTGATTGCAACACACCAGCCTTTTCGTATGCTAAGTTTTATTCCTGGGTACTCTATGCGTTCTTCTGTCTTCATATATAGGATTTTGCCTCTGTGTTCATATGTGAGATTGGTGCTATCATAATCAAATTTCTGTATTATGGAAAGCTTGTATCCCTGGAGGACATGAGTAGATTTCACCCCTTTGTATCTTTTGAATAGCGTCTGCAATTTAACCAGTATCCATTTCAGGACATTTAAAATGAATTCACCAGTAAAGTAATCAGACCCTACAAGCATGGGAGGAAAGTTTCAGCTAATTCTTGGGCAGCTTTCTCACTTTCTATTGAGACTTTCGACTTCTTTAGTTATTTTTTTTTTATTATTTAAAGTTTTCTTTTATCCCTTAGATTTTTTTTTTTTAAATTTCACTGGGCTTTTCAGATGATTAGTTTATAATTATGCCTATATTATTTCATAATTAAAGTTGTGTTTATTTGTTCTATCCCTTTTCTCCTTTCAATTCCTGTTTGTGGTTTACACATCAGTAGATTGTTCAAAGGTTTATGTAGAAAACAATTTTTCCCAAAGAAACAGCATTATAATTTACTTATAGCCATTATTTTTCTCAGTTGTAATTTATTTGTTCTCTTTGATAGATGTTGGTTTATTTGTGATTGTTTTCATCTCTTACCTCTGTTTTTAAGTTGAATGTTTAATGTACTTACATTCTCTTTTTAAAAAGTTCTTTGGTATAAGAAATAGTATACATAATGATACCAAAGTTCTTCTGATTATCGTCTTGGCCACACTTAAAAGTTTGATAATGAGTGTATTGTTTATGTTGTTGCCTACATATTATAGTTCAGTATAATAATATAATATAAACTCAGTGACTGGGTTTATTTTTTGTTTGAGAAAAGTTTTGTTTTCTTGTTTTACTGCACTGTGAATACGGAATGTGGCCTATAATATATCTGTCTTCAAAAACCTTTGTTGTTGTTGTTAAGTGCCATAGAGTCGGTTCCGACCCACAGCAACCCTGTATAGGGTTTCTGAGGAGCAGCTGGTGAGCTTGAACCGCCAACCTTGCACTTCAAACGACTTTGCAGTCTGGCGCATTAACCCACAGCGCCACGCCAGGACTCAAAAACCTTTAGAAAGCTTTTATTGTAGCCTCGAATATATCCAACTTTTTTTGGTAAATATTTCATGAACATTTAAGATGAATGTGTATTCTGTCTGCAGACTTCAAAACTCGACATAACTGCTAATTAACTATGTCTTATCAATTATTTTGTTGAGATGCAAGTGTTATTTAATTTTGACCTACTCTGTCAAAAACCAATAGGGCTATGTGAAAATCTGTTAGTACGTTTGGTCTGTCAGTCTATTTTTATAATCTTTGCTTTGTGTGTTTGGCAGCTGTGTAATTTGATACATATAAGTACAGCATTGCTATGTTTTTGCCAATTAAGTACACGTAAACACCAAGCGCAGTGCAGTGCCAGGCGTACATAGTAGGCACTCAATAAATGCTAGTTAAAACCTGACTCTGAAGCCTTTGTCAAATATAAAATGATTACCTTTAACTAATTTACTCTTTCGCCTTAAATTTCATTTCATCTATTATTGGTTGACATTACCATCCTGCTCTTTGAATATATTATACATATCTATATAGAGCCCTAGGAGCTCCGGTAGCGTAGTGGTTACGAATCAGGCTGCGAACCTTAACATCAGCAGTTTGAAACTACCAGCTGGAGAAAGATGAGGCGTTCTGCTCCCTTAAAGATTTACAGCCTTGGAAACCCTGTACAGGGTCAGAACCGACTCGATGGCACTTAACAACAACAACAACAATATAGAGCTCTGGTGATGTGGCACTGTAGTATACTCACAGGAATGGTAATCACAAGGTCAGTAGTTCAAACTCACCAGTCTCTCTTGGAAACCCTATACAGGGTGGGAACCAACTCGATGGCACACACCAACCATAGGTCTATATACGGACTCCTGGTGGTGCTGTGGGATAAGCACTGGAGAGCTAACTGTAAGGTCATGAGTTCAAACCCTGTATAGGGTTTCCAAGGATCCGCTGGTGAGTTTGAACCACTGAACTTGTGCTTCAAACTGATGATCTTGCGGTTCAACTTGACTTTGCAGTCCAGAGCCACACCAGGACTCTGATGTGCATCACTGGAGTTTAGGAAATAGGATTAGAATTGATCAGGTTAAGATATAGCTCTAAGGTAAAGCATCGAATCTCAATATCCTGTCTTCCAAATAGACTGCATTTCACTTACCTCTTTTCTGCTAACATTTTCACTAAGGCAAAGCATAACCCTGTTACTTTAAGATAAGGAGGGAGGCAGACAATATAGCTATGTTGATGCAATCTACTCCTCACAAAAGGCTTTGTCAAACAAATTTTAGGATTTGCCAAGTAGACTTGCTGCAAAGATCTTCTTGAAGATTGATGCTAGGAGGTTGTTGTAAAGTGCCGTGGTGGAGTCGGTTCCGGCTCATAGTGACCCCGTTCCAAGGAGCAGCTGATGAGTTTGAACTGCCGTCCAGTTCTTATCCTACAGACTCCAAGCGCGTGGTTGGAGTGGGTGGAGGCGTGCCGGTAGAGCCGGGAGGAGGGGTTCCGCCTGAGCCTCTGAGCTGTCTGCCCACCCACCTGCACAGGGCTGAGGCAAGGAGCGCCAAGGGGACAGACAGGCTTCTCCTGGGGCCACCCTGGTGGCAGGGCAGATACGGCCTTAGTCAGCGGTCAGGCACCGTTGGCACCTGACTCCACGAAAAGAGGGTCACGGCGTCGTCCTTCTGGGAATGCGGGGACAGCAGCAGAGGCCGAGCCTGGCTTGTCCGCGTGCGTCTGACCGGGAGGAGAGGCCGTTCAGAGAGACTGTGAGCTGACCTCATGCGGGCCGGGGAAGCGGGGCCCACCAGGTGTGGCATCGGGTCGGAGACCCGAGAGAACGACCAGAGGGAGGTACAGGCAAGGGGGGTGGGCAGTGATGGGAGGAAGGTGGTGGTGGTGGTGGTGAAGTGTCTATGACGGGGTGGTGTGTGTGTGTGTGTGTGAGTGAGACAGAGAGAGACGGACACCACCAGACACTGCACCTCCTGCCACCACTGCAACCCTCATGCGCTCTACGGCCACCTCCACACAAGCCTTCAGGTACCGCCAGGCCTGTCTGCACCATCTTGTGGTCTCAGGCATGAGCAGTTGGACCCACCCTGTTGTCTCAGGAGGATCCAATTCTGCATCATTTGGGCTATGGCCTTTGCGCTGAGCCTAGACAATCCTGGTCGGAAGCCGCTGGGGCAAATGCAGACAGGCAGAGTGAAGACGCAAAGTTGGAGTCCTGGAAACTATGTGTCTACTTGGCTAGATCATGATTCTCTGTATACTGTAATTACCCTCCATTGTCCTCTGATGTAACTGTCCTCCCTTTTGGGATCTGATGTAATTACCGTGTGCACTGTAAACCCTCACCTTTATATTAATATATGTATAATCTACAGGACTAGGATGTATCTTGAGTTGATTTCTTTTGAGATATAAAAGAGATTAAGCCAACAAGCGGAGATCACAGGGACTTACTACCACCAAGAGAACAGAGTTCATCGTATAGAAACGGGGTCCCTGCGCTGAGAACCTTTTAGACCCAGGGGAAGACTGATGCCATGACAGATGGAGTTCTCCAAGGAACGCCACGTCTACAGATGTTGAAAGGAGACAGGGGCCTTCCTCTGGATCTGCTGCCTGGTTTAGGAGGGACTTGTAGCCTCGTAAACTGTGACAGACTAAACTTCTGTTTGGTAAAGTCACTTACTTGTGGTCTTTGTGTAGTAGCACGGCTATATAACAAACATACCTTGCCACAGAGCTGCATACATACACAGAGCAGGGGGTGGTGCAGGGATCACCCCCATGCTCAGATGTACATGCCCAGTGACCCCACAGTGCACAGCGTCTCACACACACATCCTCTTACACACCTGCACGGTGCTCTCCTCTAAGTTACACTCACCAACACTAAGTCCCCAGAAAGTCCCAGGATACCAGGATACGTGGCGCTGTAGGATAAGCACTCCACCACAAGCTCGGTTTGAACCACAAGGTCGGCAATTCAAACTCACCAGTTGCTCCTCGCAAACCCTATGCAGGGTCCCTATGGGTCGGAACTGACTCGATGGCACTTACCACCACCACCTGGCTTCAGGCTGGAGGGCGCAGAGACCCCACACAGGTGCACATCATTCAGGCACACACATAGAGCCATAGCTGTCACACCCAGGAGAACAAGCTCCATACGTGCACAAAGCTACCTGCAGGCAGAGACGACCAAACACTCAACTTCGCACACAGCTTCACCTTCACGGTCATGCGCTGCGGGGACCAGGCGCGTGCAGACACAAAATTGGTCATATGCACAGTCACACATACTGGGCGGGTAAGTGCCGCTGGAGTCATGCATGTGCAAACACACAAGATAGACACGCTCACATGGGTGTCGTACACCTGCGCAGGTAAACATGCAGGGACAAATCTGTACAGGTACACACTGTCGGAGTCATGCATATGCACACACACACACACACATACACACACACAGCGGGAC